AGAGAGAGAGAGAGAGAGAGAGAGAGAGAGAGAGCTTTTTTTGAGGTTTTGGAATGTGTGTGTGTTAGTGTGTGTAAATGGTGAGTGTATGAATGTAAGAGTGTGAATGAGAGCATGACTTAATTGTACCTATGACCAATCACGCTGATGGCTGCATCCGTGATCTGACTGCAGTAACTCACATTCAGCTCTCTCAGTTTGCTGGCCGAGGGGCTTTCGGCCAGAGTAAAGAGTCCCTTATCCGTCACTCTGGAATGAGACACAGTCATTACATGAACTTGTGTCATCAACTAATAATTTTAATCAGTGGTTCTCAAATTGTGGGCTGCGAAATAATTTGCGATCAATAGCTTGGATGCAAAACCCTGTAACGAGCCTTGGGTAGATATTGGCCAGTATTCGATTCTGACGGTATAATAATTGTGAGCCAAAACATTGCAGCACAGTGAACCATTGCTATAATGCGGTACACCTTTCACGGCTTCGCTGTGTCACGGATGTTTTTAGCGCCGTTTTTTAAATTTATTTATTTATTTATTTTTTTGTGTGTATGTTCTGCATCCTGATCGGCCAAGGCACTGTAGACCAATGTCAACAGTCTCTGCATCTCGTCTCTGTACAGCTTGCCAAGTTTACATTTGCAACAAAAACAGGTTTTGATCTTTGGTATCATTCTATCGTACAGTATTGTATTGTAAAATAATACATAATAATTGGAAAAAATAAAGCTGACTGTAATTGTAGTGATATGTTCATGGTATTGTTGTCTGTTGTCTGTTTAAGAGGGAGGAAATTTCATCTGTGCTGCATACAGCATATTTGACTATAAAGTTGTACTTGGTAATATTAAAATAATGTGCATTTCTACATTATGGTAAAATGACCTCAAAGTGGTGGCTTGTTGACTAATCTATATAAGCAGCCAATCATATTGTGCCCCGTTTAGAGATCCCCTCAAAAAAGAAAAGAACTCATTACAGGCAATGCTAGTGGTTATTGAAATCTTGACTTTTTAAAACCATGTTAAACCACCCAACAGGTAATCAGCCAAATCCTAGTCTTGGGACCCTAAAAAGTTTGAGCAGCCTCGATTAAAAGACATGCAGGGCGACACGCACTTGTTACAAAGCGAGATGTCCAGGTACTGCAGGTTCCGGAGCGTGGCCACCGCCTTGAGGGAAGTGTCGCCCATCTTGTGGCATTCAACGATGTGCAACCTGCGGAGGCCTCGTGAGCTGGAGCACAGTGCCTTCCAGCTCATGTGGCTCACGCGATTGTTACCTGCACAAGGAAGAACACTTTTACACGTTGAAGATCGCTTTTAAATGTGTACAATATGGAAAGTCCCTTAGAGCATTTGTTTGATATCCTTGATATCAAATCAAGGTTGATATTTGTAAATTTCCCCAGTGTGGGACAAATAAAGGATATCTTATCTTATCTTATATATATCTGCTCTAGTACGCTCTTTTTACTCGCTCGTAAGAGGATTCATCACACTAGTAGAATGACTGTCTGTCTTGTAAATTTTTTTTCTTACTTCTAGTGCCACCATTCGGCTTAAAGTATGCAATTAACTACTGCTGTGCTACGATAGAAATGTTACGAGCCCCAACTAGTAGGCATGTGTCATGCACTATTGGTCTCCTGTGTCCTCATATAGAGTGTGAAGAACAGGTTCTAAATTTGTTTCTTCCAATTGAAATCTAAAGCGTGTACAAGTACAAAAAAAAATGTATTTGTGCACATCCTCATGCACAAGTGCACATTGTTAACTCCCATACTTGGTGTGGGAATGTTTGTATGCACACTTTATGCACAGTTCTGTGCCTTGATAAATAAGGTCACTGGATCCTACCAGTAGCACCAAAATCCCTAATGGTAATCTTGCCTCACTTTTAATATGTATTTGCCCAAGCATGCAAAAGCGTTTTACAGCAGTGCAAAAAAAAATGTTACTAATAGGATGGTCGTTCTAGTAGTGAATTGAATTGTTTTATTCATGAGGATAATGAGCCTGCTGGTACACTGAGCTTTCACTGGATGTCAAGGATATCAAAGAAATGCTCAAACAGCTTTCTATAGTCCAAGGAAGTTTGGCGGAGAACTTCACCCTCCAGGCTGAAACTCTTCAGTTTGGTGACTTCGGCGATGGCTTTGATGCCGGCGTCAGACAGTTGCCACGCCTCCAGCAGAGAGATGGAGGAGACACTCTGGCAGTTGGCCATCAGGGCCTATGTGGCACACATCGCGCAATGCTTGCAAAAAGGTGGAACATTTCCAGTCATTTTTTTTTCTCCAGAATTTTGCAAACCTACATAGCACACATGCTTCTGGTTGAGCTCTTCAGACAAAAGTATTGGGACACCTTGCCATTCCACACTTTCAGTTCCAGTTCATCCCAGCAGTGCTTGAAGCAGTTGGAGTAACGGCTCCATTCAAGTTCTATACCAAGCAGAGAGAATAGGACTGTGAGTATTGCTGTCTGCTCTGTTTATACATGTATGCATGTGACGCATGTGTTAGAGTGGCTGATTTTTGACGGTTTATAATTACCACAACATCTAAGGTAGTTTCCGTTAGCCTGTCAATGGCATTATGCGTTGTACTTTAGCATTATGCTAGCAGACTTTCGTTAGAGTACACAAAATAATAATTGCGGGAACATTCTGGGGTTAAAATAAACAGTATTTTATTATATTCTGTTTTATGTGTCAGTTTCATGGTAAACCTTAACTTGGACTGAGAAATGAAGATCTTGAAGCAAGCTTGTTATTTTGAAAACTGTGTGAGCAAGAGTGAGAACAGATTTCAGTAAGAGAAATGCTTTAAAGACAGGAAAATAGGTCCAAAATTGGATGGATGGTAGGAAGTGAAGTATTATTTACTCGGAGTGTCCCAAAACTTTTGTCTGAACTGACTGCAGCAGGGGGGCCAAGGACTGTGTCTACTACAATTAAGGATAACAAAATGAATGTGTGTAGAGCTTATCTCGAAATGTAAAGGTGTCATTTATAAATTAAACAGGGACTACATTTCTCTTCCAAAGACCCCCGTGAAAAGTGAGAGTCCAATTCAGAAGACAAAATGATTTGCTCCACTTTCTGCTCTGTGTCAAGGTCCAATTTGGCAACATATCACATTAATGATCCTCAAGTAAAAACTGCTTGAAAGATTGTCATTCTATGCTCTTGTTAATCCCGAAAAGTCCAAAATTGACTGTATTTGCCATATCACCCTTAAGAGACAGCCATGATGTGGCAGTTGTGTCAAAACTACAAGATAAGACCATTATAGGTTTGTCCATCCCCTGGTGTGCAGAGTCCTATCAATGAAACAAACATACAGAGATGCACTTGTCCGACAGGTCGTACACGTCATTGAGCAAAATCTCCTTGAGATAAGGGCACGCTTCCGAGATGTAACTGAAGCCCGTCGCCGTCACCTACGAGAGAGACAGAGAGCAAATCTGTATTCATTGGAATGTGAGTCATCCCCTTGATCCACGCTCCTCACACTTTCCGGGCCCCATAAAATGAAAACATACATCTGGAAGTGAGCATAACTGAGTGTGTTGTCATGCATGCGAGGAAGCACATGGCGAGCGGGTGGGCTTATTCAACAAGCCCGACCCCGTCCTTTCTCCACTCCTTCCTTCCTCCCCTCTTAGCTCATACTAAGTGAGGAACAAGAGGGGACACGTGCAAACAAGGAGAGGAGCGACTGGATTCTTCCAATCCTTTGGAATTATCTCACTAAGTACAGTATATCGCGGAGCCTGAAAGACTGACCTGGGAGCAGCCCGACAGGTCTAGGTGGAGGAGATTGTGGCAGCCTGTTCCCAAACTCAGGTATTGAAAACCTTCATCTGTCATTTTGTGGCAATAGGCCAAGCTCAGGTACTGAAGGTTGACACAGTTGCTGTTGGGGAAAAAATGGGAGAAACCAATAACAAATTGAAATCATGAGGGGAACCAACAAGATTTGGTGGTGTCTAATCAAAACAGCATGGCAGTGAAATCAGCAACTCAAATACTGTAGTATCTGCTATTTATTCACTGTCAGAAAAAAGTGTTTTTGAAAATTTCTCTATGCTGTAGAATCATGTATTTTCTTCCCCCACAAACTTGGAAACAACTTCAAGGTATGTGCACCATACAGTAACAAGAAGGGAAACACCCACTTATTGCAGGGCAAAGATTCCATACCAACAGCCCTAATAAGTGTGAAAATATGAGACATAGAAAGACCATGTAAGTTGTATTTTTAAATCCTAAATCTTTCCACATCTAAACTTATACAAAACACTTTTTAAACACATTGCACACAAATTTGAAAAAAAACAAAAACAAAAAACAAAAAAACAAAACAGAAGCATAAAACTTTGAAAAAATACATAAATCTGTATGTACTGCATGTGCCTTTAAGGGGTGGGGCCTGGTGGGTTGGAATGTGACATCAAGTCCGTGTGGGAGTATCTTGGCGCGAAGTACAGCCAACAGCAGCTAACCCAATAGCATAGTTGCTGAAGTCAAATTTAAATGTTTTTGGAAGACAAGACAGAAATATTTTTAGCAAGCACATAGTATTTTATTTTTATTTTTTTACCATATTGTAATCATAAGTTTAAATGACCAGTTTGTCTAATTGAATATCAAGCATTTTAATAAAGAACTGAAAAGGCAAACAAATGCCAGATGGTGATGTTGCATTTCTTAGGATTTGAGATCAGCACAGCTTTTTAGAAGAAGATAAAGATAGGGGGTGAATCACGTGTTGTCACGTTGATTATGACGGAGAGAAATGCCAACTTGTTGGAAGTCAGACATGTTCATGCACCTCACACAGGGTATGTATATTTCTAGTATAAACAAAGTGTGTGTCGCTATCGTGAGAAAAGATGATGCAATTTTAAGGAGTAAGTGAAAAACGGCATGTAAAAAAAAAAGCCAACAACATTCAATTTAAGTCATGCGTTGAGTGTCGCTCACGGCGATTTTAATAGTTGGATATCTGTAAATACAGTAAATGGTTGTTTTGCCATCAAAATCCCTCTCTCAGATTTATTTTCTTATTGTTTGAGGTGTCACAAAAGGAAAAATATCAGCATCATAGTCACACTTCTTCCTTGACATGTCTCTTTTCACAAAATGCTTGTTTTTGGTCCAAAACCAGCGTTTTTGATGGAACCAACCCAGGACAATCCCTGACCAAATTGGGGCCCCAAGCAACATTTTATTCATACCAAACAATGTTCTATTGGTGGTTACTAAAGAATGAAAATAGCTAGGAGCATTTTTTTTATGGTGAAAGAAAAGAGTCTAGTCTTTCCTTCGATAGGATTGGTGGAAACTTGAAAACGTGAACAAGTGAATGAGTTATGTGATGTTGGATACCTGTTGAAAAGTACAGCAGTTGGCACTCACAGGATTAATTAATCAATTTAGGCGTCTGGCTTGTAAACCCATAATTCTCTTTTTGAGACATTTTGGACAATTCTACGTGTCCAACTTTGTGGGAACAAGTTTGGGAAAGCCCCTGTTTTAATTCCAGCCTGACTGATTTACAACTAGAATTTTCAAATCGCATAATTCATCCACAATGGCAAACATGCCTCTTTTTTTTTTTTTTCCATGTCGCAAGCGCCACATCTGCTCCTCTTTCTCAGTCTACAGACTGGCAACAAGTGAACTGTTCTCACACGTGAAAGGCGAAGCAAATAGTGCTGCTGGGCTCTACGTCGGAAAAAAAGTATGCATATTAGTGGCTACTTCTGGGAAGTGGAAGGCAAGGCTCCAGCGACAAAAGGATTTGCGTGCTAACAAGTGGCACTGTTTACCTTGCCAGCTCTCTGAGGGTGGCGTCTGTCAAGAGCGTGCTGGAGAGGTTCAGGTAGAGCAGGGAGTTACAGCCTTCCACAATTGACTCAATCATGGCGTCCTGTCAAAGCACACACACCACCACGTCATACATATTTTATACTCCAGTGAGGCTGCCAGACAGCTGTGGCTGCTTCCGTACATTCTGTCATTTTTGAGAGCTTAATCTCTCAAAGCAAAGGCGTCAAACTCAAGGCCCCGTTGGCCAGATGGAGCATGCCATCTAAGAGCGATTCCCAGCCATTGTGCTGTTAGAAATCATCAGGTGTGCTGCGGGGAAGGTCTGCCATTTCACAACATGTTTCTAAATACAGTTATGCCTTGAGATACAAGTGACATGACTCGGGTGTTTTGTTTTCAATTAGGATCTTAAACACTGTCTGGTGGAGGGTGACTCAACTGTTTCCCAACAAGAGGAAGTTTGGTAAATATTCTCCCCCCCCCAAAAAAAAAAAAATGCTTGAAGATGTGTTTTGCCACTCATCAGAAGATTATTGTCAAACTAAAGAAAAAAAAAAACTAAGAGAATTACATGTTGGGTATTTAAAACAACCACATAGCATCAGCTATGCGAATGCTAACATAAAATTAGCAGCTCTTTATTCGATGTGTCGTTGCCCTTTAAGCAAAGGATATCTGAAACCAAACATGTAATCCATATCATGACCACATAAATTATGAATATGAGGCTTTGTAAAGCATTTTGCACACCGCATGGTGTAGATAAAGTGCGATATAACTAAACTCCATTTTCCATTTACCATGATCAAACCACATAATATTCACAAGTCTATACTGTATTCTTAATTGTGAAGAGCGACAAATGTGAGTGTCGTACTGATGAGCTAAGAGGAGTTGAGAAGTCTCACTGAACAGTATATTTGTGGCTGTCTTAAACTGCCCCTCAGGTGGCCAAGAACCGCACACCGGAATGAGCAACACAGTTGAAGGAGAAATAGTTTGACTCTTTTTCATTCTATTGAATTATATGATTCCTGTATAATTTTACAAAGTATTAGATTATACAGTGGTATTTTTTCTCATTAAAACACGTTACAAAAAGTCGACATGCGGTAGGACGACGACGAAGAATTGAGAACCACCTTATAAAAACAACTGTCACAACAATGGATAGCGTAAATGTCAAGCAGGCAGCTGGGAGACGAAACATGCCTGCAGTTGAAAAGTCTTTAGTTTTGGAAAACGACAAGAGTGCAAACAGCGACTTGTATTGTCTGTATCTTGAGTGCTGTGCGTGGGACTGAGATTGGTGTGGATTGCAAAACTAGACCAGTTGGTCTCTAAGTTCTAAGTTCTGGAATTTTATCATTTTATTTGTGACTGTACGCGAAATGGGGTAAACGGCTCTAGTTTTACTTCGATGTGTTACAATGTGAAAAACTTCCAGTGGCACTTTAAGAGCCTCTCTCCAGGCTCTTAAGATGGAGACAAAGCAATAACAAATGACACGATTCGGCTTTGTACAGCATAATAAATCCCGTGGTACAAACAGTGACTGTTGCACTTGTCTGTGACCCCTGACACCATAGTTATAAATGGCACCCTGACGGCAAGCATAACTACGTGATGAAAACAAGTTTGACACCGCTAATATACAGAACTCGGTATAACCATCACAATGTTGTTCTCACCGTGATGTTAAAACACTCAGACACGTTGAGCTCTTGGAGATTTCTGCATTCGCCTGGAATAGAAACAGCAAGAAAGTTACGAAACAATCTGGGGCACGTCCCAATAGTAAATGACAATATTTGTTCCACTAATTTGTATTCTCTTCATTTCATAACATTTCTCTTGGCTACTCTGCCCATGTGGATGTTTGATTCCCCCCCACTCAGAGTTCAGCCTCTTTGTGTTGCCACATCAGTTAAATCCGTCCAGGACCTTCGGAATCCATAGTCCTGGCTGATGTAACTTAAACTACGGGACTGTTTCGTGAACCAGTCAGATTTTAAATTCACCCTCACAGACAACGTCAGCATTTTCCACCCACTGATTGCTTGGTCAGAGCAAAATTGATCATTAAGAAAATGCAACTATAGTGATCGGCACACATTATTAAGGTTGATAATCAGCATCTATTAAGAGTTTTTTTTTTTTTTTTTAGCTTTAGTCAAGTTATTCGATAAAGATAGACTGTGAACTGCTTCAAATGATGTGTGTGGCACGAATGTGTTGTTATATTGTGTTCAATTCAAGGTTCAATTCAACTTTATTGTCAAATGTGCTCTATGTGCAACATACAACAAAGATGAAATTTCTTTCCTCAAATTTCTTTCCTCTCAACCACAGGAGAGAGAGAGGAGCCGCTGCGGGTGCCCGCACTGCCATCAACAGAACATTTAACATAAAATGACAAAATAATACAACACAACACATAAGACACAGACGGCCGTGCAGTCGTAACCACTTTTTCTGCATACACTTTGTTGTTCGAAGTAAACAAGAAGCTGTAGCGTCCATTGACGAAAAAGAGATTGGCTCACATCTTTCGTCCCATGTAAATTCGCTTCATTTCCAAGCGGCGACTCCCAGTTCCACATACGCTTCTGTACTCTGCACTGTCGCTCCTTTCTTCTTATCGTCATCTCCACAAGCCATCCACCCATCCAGCCGCAGACTGTCCAACAGCACCGACATTTCCGCTGAACAAAACGGGGCTGTAAAAAATGCTGCCAATTACAGGCGCAAAAACACAAGCGGCCCGGGGCTGTCCAGCACCGACAGTCAAATGGCGCCGACATTCCTCCCAATCAAAATCAGTGCTGGTACAGGCCTGCTGCCGAGAAGGCGCAACCACCAAGCACAGATTCTTCTCCTTTGACGAATGTCGTGGCCAAAAAAATACTGAAAACAATCCACATCAGGCCCACACGACGTAACAACAACAACACCATGTGAGAAAACAAAACTCAAAAACAACAAAAAAAGAAAGGCTCTTGAAGAGCACTTGCTGATGGCTGCCTACACAGGCGCCATCTTGGGGGGTAAAAAAAACAAAAACATACTGTATTGATGGTTTCTGTGATTGCGATGCAATCATGGTGGTAAGAGGTGAACAGAGTCTCCATTGGAAGGCCCAGTCACCAAATGCATGGCCCACTACAGATACAAGGTACACACAGATTGTGAACATGCGGTGGAGCGGCTCAAACAGTCAAAGTTGTACAGCATGATAGTGTGGAAATATTATTGTAAGGCTATAAATACACATTTGGATGTCCCTCGTGTCTTACGCAACACGCTGCTGCATCACGCTCCTTCCACAGCTGTACTCCATCAACAGTTACAGGAGTTGTCCTCCGCTTTGACCCATTTCAAATGCTCATCATTATATCCAAAACAACTCTGCTTGACTCCACAGCCCAAGAGAAGAGACAGCGAGAGCTATTGAGAGGAAAAAGGGAAAAAAGCTAGTTACCAGCATGCGTGTGACCTCCTCTTTCGTCGTGATCTCCCTGCTCGCGCTTCTGCTGCTGTTCCCGTTGGTCGAGATGAAACGAGCGGGCAAAGGCAGAGGCCTCAAAGGAGCAAGACGCAAGCTCGCGCGGGACAGGTGGGCGCCGTGCACACTATGGTCTCAATTACAATATTGGGGGGGATATTACTTGGCACGCATCCTCACTAATTCCAAAGAATGCATGTTATGTTCATTGGGGACTGTCATTAAGTGGGAATAAGATTGTGAATGCTTTTTGTGTCCTCTGATTGACCGGACACAAAAGTCAGCGGGGAGTGGCTCCAGCTCCTAAGTGACCCTCATGAGGACAAGTATTGTAGAAAATGGATATGTATGGATGTCACTGTGCAAAGTAAGCCCATCTGGATTTTGAAGTTTATGACACAATTTGGCCATGTAGGTTGAGGTATGTGCTAATAGTTCATTTGTGTTGTTCTTTTTAACCCATTTAAACTGCAAAACATGGCCTTGAATAAAATGGTGGGGAAAAAGGAATGACATTAGGAATATATTACACAATTTCAGCAAAATTATCTGCCAACAGAACAGTTATGACAATTACGACTTGGCAAAAATTCCTTAAAACAACTAAACATTGCTAGCCAAAAACAACACTGATGTCTGGAAAATATTGTATTCATCCTACCTACACCAAGAGAATTGCGGTATTTCTTTTATTACAAGATAAACGTAGTCATTACCGGTCATAAAATCTCAATAACAATTTATAAATCCCAGATGATGATTTTTTAGGGGGTAGAGTGCGATGCTTAAAGCAAGTGAAATACTTTCACACAAAAGCTGCCAGGTAAGAAAAAATATCTTGGCAGACAAAGAACAAGCATATTTTGACTTGATTTAAGTTAAGAAAGGTTTTTTTTTTCCTGTCGTAAATTTTCTTTATTTCACACATTGTTTCTCGTGAGATTAGGCCAGATTTTTTTTCACTGTTTCCTAACTGAGGGGCTGTTGGTCATGTTGTGGTTCTTGCAGCTGACTTTTATGCAGTTGAGGTCAGTTTGCGGTCAATGACCGACCAGTCAAGGAGGGTTGCCTTTCATTTGTTTGGATCATATTTTCCACAGAAAAAAGCAACAGCTACTGACTTTGGCGTACAGTCTGGAGCCTGCATTACTAGATTAATTTTACTTTGTGTTTAAAATCAGCACGAACAAATAACTCACTAGTTTATCTACCTATTACATGCTGTAGTGTCCGTGTGTTGGATATCTGCCTTGAAGCGACTGGACCGACTGAGTGAGTGAGGTCAACAGCTGGAGTCGGATTAGCCAGTTAGTCTGTGCATGTGAGCGTCTAGGCGTGAGTTGTGGCCAACAGCAGCTCTTTGGAAGTGTTATCATTCCGTATTTGACTGTTTATTCCGTTAAATAAAAGTCTAAAACTGCATCGGTGACTGCGGCTCTACTTGCCCACATGCAGTCATTAGTGAGTTGCTCCTTTCTTTTTTATTTCACATGAGCGGTGACTCAATCACAAAAAAAAAAAAAAAAAAGAAAAAACCCAGAAGAAAAAACTATTGACCAGCCGATGGAATTGAACTTGAAAAACATGTAAGTTGGGGCACTTATAAGTAAAGGTTCCAATGCAATTAACAAAAATATATAGGAGATTTTAGTCTGCAAAAGGAATCATGACAATACTTTTATGGGCATCTAAATTCTCACTGTTCACAACTTGTTTAACGCATTTCCCTCACTCAGCTTCTTGCTTTTGTGTTCAAAACCCTCAGGGTGAGAGGCGCTGGCCGTCACGGCAGATCCGACTCCTCAAGACCAGGCAACTGCTCAGAATCCTTAGAGTCCGGACGTGTCTTTGCAGACTGTCAGGGCTGTCGCCTCACCTCCATTCCCAGGCCGCAGACCTGGTCCAGAGCACCCAAGTACCTCCTCTTAGCACGTAATAGGATCAAGGTTCTCCGCGATGAAGCCTTCGCCGGCTACGAGAGTCTAACTAGCCTGGACTTGCAGCAGAATCACATCTCGTTGGTGGAGGAGGGGGCCTTTGAGGGTTTGACTCGACTCACAACCCTGCTGCTCCAGCACAACCGCCTGACCTCGCTGAGCGAGGAAGCTCTCATCCCAATGCCCAACCTCCGCTACCTGCGTCTCTATGACAATCCACTGAACTGTCATTGTGACATGGACAGCCTGGTACAAACCCTTCAAGTCCCAAGCAACCGGAATCTGGGAAATCATGCAAGGTGAGGCTCCCCAAATAAGCTGAGTTAAGTGGAGGTGGGAGGTAGTCAAGTAAAAATGCTCTGTTACTGTACTTCGTGTTGGTCAGGTGTCAAACTCAAGGCCCGCGGGCCAGATCCGGCCCACCAGGTCATTTGATGTGGCTCGCAAAAGCAAATCATGTGTTGCCAAATCTGTACCGAAATGTCAAATTGTCACGTGTAATAAATAACGTTGAAATGTTGCCATTATTTTGTTACCCTGTTTACCCTCACTCGAACAATAATTGAACAATCTATTTTAATCGACTTATTTCAAAATGAGTAATCTATTAATTTGTTGTGTATAAGTAATCATTTTGTGGTTTCACTGTCATAACGGCCCTCTGAGGGAAGATGTAACTCCAAATTGGCCCGCGACTAAAATGAGTTTGGCGCCCCTGGTGAAGGTGAATCATCTGTATTTGACTTGAGTAGTTATTTTTTTCACCACTTTTTAGTTTTACGCCCGACATTTGGAAACACATAAAGTTTCCATGCTTTCTATTCCTTGGTCAAAATACACTTGCTACTTTTTTACATAGGGAGAGTTGAAATGATTGAAATCCTGTGGACTTAGAAAAGCGTAAAAAGCAAGGAGGAGCAAAATGGAAAAGTGCCAAACAGGACACATTAACGGCGGTGACTCATAAGATTCGGAGAAGCAAACATTCGCCAAGTAATTCTCCATCCGTGGCCTTATTCAAGAGAAAAGTAGTCGGCAACAAGAATGATTTATGGTGAATGTGATGTGTTTTGTACCAGCCTAAAAACCACGAGGTTCTGGCTTTCAAAAATTCAGTCGAATGTGGGCAAAACACAAGCAGGGTCCAGTGGATGTAAAAATTCAACACACCCCTGTTCCAATGACAGCTTTTTTGTGGGAACAAATGACATCAAGATATATAATTAAAAAATGTATACTAATACTAAAAATAAATCTCAACGTGAGAAAATGAACAACAAAACATTAGCATGTGAACAGAGGTGTGTAGACCTTTTAATGTTAATGAAAGAGGAAACTAATTTTCTAACATGATTATTGTAGTACATCAAGTAATTGACTGATAGAAGACCCTAGCGAGACGTAACTTTTGTTGTGTTTCTCCTTAAAGGTGTGCAGAGCCTCTCAGGCTTAAAGGCAAGAAGTTGAAGCGGATCGACCCCGAGCTGCTCTGCAAGAAGTCAGACCCAAATGAAAAGCCGCAGGGCGACCAGACTGATCCGAAAGATCCGGCGGAGCCAAGTCCCTTTCAAAACAAACCAGATGCCATCACATCCTGCCACACTTATTACTTCCCTCATGTACGCGTGGACTGCAGTCACCGAGGCAAGTCTTTTATCGCCAGTGGAATCCTTCGATCACTGTAATGAAAAGGCAACTTGCCCAGTGCACACATTTCTTAAGTAATGAAAAAGCAATCCTGACGCATTTATCACCGAGGGGCTGCATGATTGGATGCTGATGACTGGAATTATTACACTCCTCAAAAATTCCAGAGAACGTGAATTATATAGCGGAACCTCAACAAAAGAGTCTAAACGTACCAAGAATCAAACTGAATTTGAGCATTTTTTCCTCCTTTCTGATCAAAATCGGCAAAAGTTTGACGGGCGAATGTCTAACGCCGCGTTTGCCAACCTTTATTGGAGCCAAAGCACATATTTTACCTGAGAAAATTTCCCAGCATCCATCTATCTATCCATCTATCATCTATCTATCCATCCATCCATGTGCACACTGGTTGGGAATCACTGTCTGAGGCAGATGGGAGATGCAAAACAGCCAAGGCTTTTGTCTTTTGCCATCTAATTTAGGCAGCGTGTCAAAGTTTGAAGATGCTCTCTGGGCACATGCATCACTGCTTGCAGCTTTAATTGTAGCTTTATTTAGGTGTGTTATAAGTGGTTACTTTAGTTTTAAGCCATGCAAGACATTGAAAAGTTGTCACGATGGCAACAAGTTGATCCTGGAAAAATTACAAAGGAACTTTAATTTATGAGTTTAATTCATATCGTGGGCGGTTCTGGTGGTCGACTGGTTAGCGCGTCGGCCTCACAGTAAAGAGGTGCAGGGTTCGATTCTGGCTCTGGCCTTCCTATGTGGATTTTGCATGTTCTCCCCGTGCCTGCATCGGTTTCCTCCCACATTCCAAAAGCACGCATGGCAGGCTGATTGAACACTCTAAATTGTCCCTCGGTGTGACTGTGAACGCAAATTCATGTTGTTCGTCTATGTGTGCCCTGTGATTGGCTGGCAACCTGTTCAGGGTGTTCCCCGCCTACTGCCTGAAGACAGCTGGGATAGGCTCCAGCACGCCCCGCCACCCTTGTGAGGATAAGCGGATCAGAAAATGGACGGATGGATGAATTCATATCGTGACTGAGCCCATAACTTAATTTTAATCAGACAGCCAGCCACCTATTACCTGAGCCGCTTATCCTCACAAGAGTCGCAGGCATGTTGGAGCCCATCCCAGCCATCTTCGGGCAATAGGCGGGGTACATCTTGAACTGGTTGCGCAGCTAATCTTAGTAATTAAATTATACAGGTATCTACTGTTATCTATTTCAGCTCACACGTGAAAAAAAAAATCACCCCATTGCTCATAATTCAGAAGTTGGTGCATTTATAGACCCTAAATAATGTTTTTTTTTTTTTCTATTGCCATTACAGTAACCCCTCGTTAATCATGTTCCAGATCACCCTCATGACAGATGAAATCTGTTAGGTAGCAGCCATATATTTATTTCCAATATTATATGCGTGTGAGGTGCAGGTTATATTTTTTTCCACTTGGTTTCGCCATCCTCAGCCGTCACAGTCATGAATCTGTGACTGTGACTTTAAAAAGTGGGGCCTAGCTTGTTGAGGGATGATGGCGTATGCGAATGAGTGTGTACAGCTGGCTGGCTGTGAACTGGCTAAACCAAAAGCCACACTGCGTACACTTACTTGACATCAGTTGGTTGTGTGAGAATATGCGCTTGCATTCATTTGGTTATGTTTGAACAATAAAGTAAGTAAAAGTGCACTGGAGGCTGTGTAGTCTTGGCCACTCGTAGAGGGATCTCAATTTGTTTTGACTAGCAGTAGTAGGCTATCAAATAAGTTAATGTTTTTACTGTTGCAATGTTAACTTAAACCAGTTGTGCTTTGCAAAAGAAAGTGATCCCATACTTTGGGCAGTCTCTTGTCTTTTATTCGCTCTTTTCCTACTGGCTCACGCTTTTCGCTCTGCAGCCTGTGTGGAAAAATAATCACTGCAAAATGCCACGATACAGCCCAAAAAAAAAAAAGATATAAAACTAGGTATTTATGACAGAAAAATCTGCGGTAGAATGAAGCATCAAGATCTGAAGTGCAATGTGGTGAGGGACGACTGCACTTCCTATGGGAAGGATCCATTGTAAACACACGAGCTCCACTGCACATGGCACAAATTAAATTTGGAACGGATGAATCAGACCATCTTTCACACGTGTCCACTCGTCTTGATCTACAGGTCTAACCGAGGTGCCTGCTGGTATTCCCGAGGACGCCGTCCAAATAGATCTCTCCCACAATTCCATCCGTCATCTCAAGGCCAAGAGTTTCCAAGGAGCAAAGAGTTTAAAAACGCTGAACCTCAGCCATAACAACATGGAACGCATTGACACAGGTATAAAGTATAGTGTTTTTTTTTTGGAAGTTGTTCTCTAATAAGGAGTGGAATGGCAACATGTTTTGTCTTATCTATGGACATTTCTAAGGACGTTCACGCCTATACCTTTTCACGTCTATACCTTTCCCCGACTGTTCCGGTCTTAGCTCTGTTGCCACCTGCTGATGATAATGTGACAGTATCATAAAGAGAACTGTTTTAATAGGAATTCTAACTGAACAAAGACATTTTTTGGTCTATTCATGGTACTTGTTAGAACAGAAACTTGAGCAAAAAGGGGCAAGAAAAATGGATCTGTTGGACCTGAGCATTCAACAGTTGAGAGAAAATCAAAATGGTTTCATGTGCAGTGCAACTCAAGTTCATCCTGAAATTTTACCCGAAACCAGATTAGCCCGAACTAAAGTGTGTGCTTAAGAGTGCGTTACTACAGCAACAAAGCAGCCAATTTCACAGCATGTCTTTGATCCAAGATGACAGAAAAAGGCTTTTTTGTGTGTTTTTCCCGGAGCGGCCAATAGTTGGGGGGGTTTACATCTGCTGGGAACCTCTGGTTTTAATTTTCTGCCATTTAAAGACCATGAGCTTTCTGTGCAAATATGAGAGAGCTGAATTGGATTACATAACACTGCACAAGCTTCCCCTTCAGCAGACTCAGTTTGCTTGACCTGGTGCTTACTGGTCACGGTAACTGGTTGTGGCGGGTAAACACCCTGCTCTTGTGCACGTCTGCAGCTTCCTTGTTCGGGCTCCTCCACCTCCGCGAGTTGGACCTGTCAGAAAACAGCCTACATTTCATCCAGTATGGGGTCCTTGAAGATCTCTACTTCCTGTCCAAGCTGAAGCTGGGGGGAAACCCTTGGGTGTGCGATTATAGGTGGGCCTTATAATTTTTCTATAGTGGTTTTCCACCATGGCAGCTCTTTGGTTTTCATGTTGCTTACACAGTATCTCTTGCTACTGTAAATGTAGACTTTACAGGCAAAACTAAAATTCATCATAAATTGTAAAGAAAGCAAATACATTGGAATTCCTCCATTTTCAATAGCCCTTATTCTTATTAGTGTTGTGGGTAAGTTGGAGCCAGCCAATCACAGGGCACATAAAGACTAACAGGCATTCACACTCATGGTTAATTTAGAGTCTCCGGGTACATAATGTACATGGCATGTTTTGGGAATATGGGTGAAAGCTGGAATAGGGGTAGTAAGAAAAAATGCAAACTCCAAACAGAAAGTTCCAAGCCACGATTCAAACCCAGAATCTAACCTGTGTTAACGCCTCATCTATTTCCCTTACTGCCCATCCAGTCAGGAGTGAGCAATATAAAGTCTTCAGTGGACCCAACATGCATGTTTTTGTAATGATGAAGGAAATGGGAGTACCTGAGAAAACGCATGCAAGCACGGGGAGAACATGCAAACTCCTCATCTCTTGAGACTAAAATTGGCTGTAATAGAGCAGGTTAAACAACATTGTTTCTGGCCGAGAAACACACACACACACAAAATCAACCTTGTTGTGTTGTCAAAGGAGGAGTTGATAGACTTTCCCTGTTTAGTGTCACAAAAGTAGGTTTCAAGTAGGTGTTATGTACAAACAATAAAGAGGGATGATTGTCCACGGTCAGTTCAAGTATTCCGCCCCAAGAACTGAAATGTAGACAACAAATGCAATGGAACAGCATGCCACTGCAACTTGCACATCATTGAGTAATTTTGAATCAATATTTCTCTTGTAAAATGACAAAAGCATTTGACACAAGCACTTGGCTTGCTCTTACCAACCACAAGACAGAAATATGCCAACGTTATTGTGGGCCGGCTAACTCAGCTTTATGCTGTTACAGCCAGCCAGCGCTAACAATTTGAAAGGCCGTCAAATTGGATTGAGAAAGACAGAGGCTTTGATCTACATATATTACACTAGTAGGGAAACTTTTGCCTACTATTAGAGAAAGTCCACATGACTAGTTTGCCAAAAACGCGCGCTTGTTGACAATTGTGCGCCACTAGGACTAGGGGACATTATAAAATGTCAGGAGTTAACGTCTCGTGGTCCACTTCTTCGCCAGTCAAAATTAGCTCTTCCAAGTTTTGCTCTGTCCAGCCAATTGCAGGATGGAAAAATGCTGACATCAACAAGGACAAGCACGAGCACCTAGTGAGGATGAATTTGAAATCGTTAAACGGTCTCACTGCTCGCCCCATTGATTGACATGGCAACACATAGGGGCTGAAATCTAATTGGAAAAATAAACAAAATCTAACAGTGCAGCCAAGAGAGACACAACACAATTCGGACTGTTGGGAATGAATACATACAATTCCATGGAATAAATATAAGAATTATGGTTGCAAATGTACAACAGTGCCTCTGACACCACAAGTCAATGCTTGCAAAAACAGACGAGCGGGGTGTAACCAACATGAACACCACAGATGTCTCATATTCCTCTCTTAATATCAAAACCCAAATAAAACTAAGTCCACTTTGCAGCATCCACTACATGATGTACTGGCTTCGACTCCACCCAGTGGTGAGGCCCTCGGGACTGATGTGTCGCTCGCCTCCCGAATACACGGGCGAGAGCGTGGAGGAGTACGTGCGCGCCTACAACCGAGGTTGTCCCAAAGACAGGCAGCAGAGTCCGCGAGACCAAACCGAATCGGATGAGCTGCTCTGGAACTCCCTGGAAGAGGTCCAGGGCGAGCCGGAGGAGGAAGTGGAGCCCAGCCACTTGAGACAGCCTCAGAAGTACCAGATTATCAGACTGTCTTGAGGCAAAAGGCTCTGAATGGGCTCTGTGTACAACTTTAGCCAAATCCTTTTCATTGTGTCAAATAGTCTGTATCAGATGAAGAATCTACTTATGTGGTGTGTACCCCCCCCCCAAAAATATGGGAATGATCTCAAATATTTTTTTAAAAAATGTACAAGCCCAATTTGCAGGTTTAATGGGGATCTGTTCATTTCCAGTGGTGTATAATAATTACAAATGTCACAAAAGTGTTTTGCTTAATACACTCAAATGTCGCAATAAAAAGCATTTTTGACTTATTTGGGAAACCCTGTTGATTACCTTGCTGTTAATGTGGTCCGGCATTAAATTGACATTTGAGAAAATGTTCATCCAAGTCAACTTTTGAATTGAATGACAGTCTTGTGAGAGCTAACATTTTATGGTGAAGCTGTAGTTAAAATGTAATAACACTTTTTTTAAGGGTACAAACACTGATGCCTTGAGATATTACTTTATTTAATTTTGTGACACACGTGTAATTCAAACACATGCATATCTCAAATCGTCTTTCCCCATCGTAATGAATAAAAATGTCATTAATCCGTTCTGCCCCGCCCAAAATATTTGTTTTTAATCAGAAAAAGAACACTCTGTATTATTGTTCTTTAAAAAAATAATAAATCACACAATAGTGACATAACTAAATAGAAAGTAAATAAGTTTTGCCACATCTTCGACTCAAATTCAGTGCACGTCTTTGTTTGATGTTTAGTGTGACAGTAAGCTTTAACTGGGAGTGGCAGAAAAGAGTTTATAGCTAAATCTCAAGGCATCACTGCATAAAGTAAACTAACCAGTAAGCACAGCTTACCAGTAAGCACAGCTGCAATTCAATTTGTTGGATGCAGAGATGAGACTAAGCTATTAATGGTGACTTCCGATAAGTATACAGGTATGGCAGTGCTGTAGGAGTGGACAACTCACCAATATGCTTCAAACTATACCAGTGTAACGAAGTGCAGCCGCGCAGATTCAGGTGGATCACAAATGGACGAAAATTAAGCAGGACATCCTTCATGGTGTCATCTGTTATCCAGCGTTTATCCACCGAGACGTTGATCTAAGTGGATAGAAAGGAACTTAAATCAATATTTAAACTTAAGTCAAGATTTTCAAATGATCACTGATACAAAAAAAAATCACCATGTTGCATCAGTGGTGAGCTATTTTTGGAACAGGGCTGCAGGTTCCTCACGTGGTTCTCGGGGGCTGCCCGGGCACCACGTGGGTGACTGCTGCACAATTCTATGCATACAGATATTGTACTAACCTTACTCCACAGAGTGCCCGTATGGATGAGACTTCTCCAACTGCAGCACACTTCGGAACAGCTCAGCAGGTCTCGTAATTCCATATACTGGAATATCTGCGGGTAAACATTTGAACATCAGAAATTGCATGCATAAAATGTTTAGAAAATACTTGGTGTGGTGTCGTGTCTGTGTATCTGCATCTGTTTTAAGAGACGGGGCCTGGTAGGATGATCCGTGACCTCAGTATGCCTGTGTGTGAGTGCCTGGCTGTGAGCTGTGGCTGACTCCTGTCTGAGATTTGTAGCTTGCATGTGTACTTGATCGATAAGAAAACTCGGAAGCTTTGGATTAATGACCTTAAGTGAGATGTGGTTGGGTAAGGCTGAGAGCCAGTCGCATCCCTCCCCGACCTGGCTTTGCTGGCGCTCCATCTCCAGTTCATTCTGAAGTCTCTGCAACATCAAACCGCACACGTTTGGGGATTTTTCATTTTTTTAAATTTTGTCTTGACTTGTTAATAATTGTTTCAATTTAATGAATTTTTCCGTGGGTTAGCTAGTTTTATTCGGATTTTGTTTTTGTAAATGTTTGGATTTAGTTTAGGGTTTTGTTTCTTCTGTATATTTTGTCAGTCAAATTTAAGTCTGGTCAGACGTTGCTGTGTTACAGGATGCCGCACTTGAGTGAACTGCAGACAGACCGAACGACATCATTCACTGCTTAGCTGCAGTACCAGCGTTTCACCAATAGCAGGTGCTAACAGACTATAACATGGTCCGAGGGACCATGACTCAGTGGCGTACAATAAACGTTAAAAGTGCTTTTATTGGTCATTTATTTATTTCATTATTCATTTATACATTATTTTTTGTATGTTACATTATTTTCCCTAATTTTGGGATGGAGGGGTAATATTTTTTCTGGAATGCTAATTGGATTGACATTATTTCCATTGGGAAAAATTACTTTGGTTCTTGCACGAATTGGTTTTATTCAGACTTTTTGTTATACACTGTATGTGTTGCTGCTTTTAAAGTACCATTTGTTTAAAGGTTTGTCTGTCTGTTTGAGAAAAATCTGCGGTAGAATGAAGCATCAAGATCTGAAGTGCAATGTGGTGAGGGACGACTGCACTTCCTATGGGAAGGATCCATTGTAAACACACGAGCTCCACTGCACATGGCACAAATTAAATTTGGAACGGATGAATCAGACCATCTTTCACACGTGTCCACTCGTCTTGATCTACAGGTCTAACCGAGGTGCCTGCTGGTATTCCCGAGGACGCCGTCCAAATAGATCTCTCCCACAATTCCATCCGTCATCTCAAGGCCAAGAGTTTCCAAGGAGCAAAGAGTTTAAAAACGCTGAACCTCAGCCATAACAACATGGAACGCATTGACACAGGTATAAAGTATAGTGTTTTTTTTTTGGAAGTTGTTCTCTAATAAGGAGTGGAATGGCAACATGTTTTGTCTTATCTATGGACATTTCTAAGGACGTTCACGCCTATACCTTTTCACGTCTATACCTTTCCCCGACTGTTCCGGTCTTAGCTCTGTTGCCACCTGCTGATGATAATGTGACAGTATCATAAAGAGAACTGTTTTAATAGGAATTCTAACTGAACAAAGACATTTTTTGGTCTATTCATGGTACTTGTTAGAACAGAAACTTGAGCAAAAAGGGGCAAGAAAAATGGATCTGTTGGACCTGAGCATTCAACAGTTGAGAGAAAATCAAAATGGTTTCATGTGCAGTGCAACTCAAGTTCATCCTGAAATTTTACCCGAAACCAGATTAGCCCGAACTAAAGTGTGTGCTTAAGAGTGCGTTACTACAGCAACAAAGCAGCCAATTTCACAGCATGTCTTTGATCCAAGATGACAGAAAAAGGCTTTTTTGTGTGTTTTTCCCGGAGCGGCCAATAGTTGGGGGGGTTTACATCTGCTGGGAACCTCTGGTTTTAATTTTCTGCCATTTAAAGACCATGAGCTTTCTGTGCAAATATGAGAGAGCTGAATTGGATTACATAACACTGCACAAGCTTCCCCTTCAGCAGACTCAGTTTGCTTGACCTGGTGCTTACTGGTCACGGTAACTGGTTGTGGCGGGTAAACACCCTGCTCTTGTGCACGTCTGCAGCTTCCTTGTTCGGGCTCCTCCACCTCCGCGAGTTGGACCTGTCAGAAAACAGCCTACATTTCATCCAGTATGGGGTCCTTGAAGATCTCTACTTCCTGTCCAAGCTGAAGCTGGGGGGAAACCCTTGGGTGTGCGATTATAGGTGGGCCTTATAATTTTTCTATAGTGGTTTTCCACCATGGCAGCTCTTTGGTTTTCATGTTGCTTACACAGTATCTCTTGCTACTGTAAATGTAGACTTTACAGGCAAAACTAAAATTCATCATAAATTGTAAAGAAAGCAAATACATTGGAATTCCTCCATTTTCAATAGCCCTTATTCTTATTAGTGTTGTGGGTAAGTTGGAGCCAGCCAATCACAGGGCACATAAAGACTAACAGGCATTCACACTCATGGTTAATTTAGAGTCTCCGGGTACATAATGTACATGGCATGTTTTGGGAATATGGGTGAAAGCTGGAATAGGGGTAGTAAGAAAAAATGCAAACTCCAAACAGAAAGTTCCAAGCCACGATTCAAACCCAGAATCTAACCTGTGTTAACGCCTCATCTATTTCCCTTACTGCCCATCCAGTCAGGAGTGAGCAATATAAAGTCTTCAGTGGTCCCAACATGCATGTTTTTGTAATGATGAAGGAAATGGGAGTACCTGAGAAAACGCATGCAAGCACGGGGAGAACATGCAAACTCCTCATCTCTTGAGACTAAAATTGGCTGTAATAGAGCAGGTTAAACAACATTGTTTCTGGCCGAGAAACACACACACACACAAAATCAACCTTGTTGTGTTGTCAAAGGAGGAGTTGATAGACTTTCCCTGTTTAGTGTCACAAAAGTAGGTTTCAAGTAGGTGTTATGTACAAACAATAAAGAGGGATGATTGTCCACGGTCAGTTCAAGTATTCCGCCCCAAGAACTGAAATGTAGACAACAAATGCAATGGAACAGCATGCCACTGCAACTTGCACATCATTGAGTAATTTTGAATCAATATTTCTCTTGTAAAATGACAAAAGCATTTGACACAAGCACTTGGCTTGCTCTTACCAACCACAAGACAGAAATATGCCAACGTTATTGTGGGCCGGCTAACTCAGCTTTATGCTGTTACAGCCAGCCAGCGCTAACAATTTGAAAGGCCGTCAAATTGGATTGAGAAAGACAGAGGCTTTGATCTACATATATTACACTAGTAGGGAAACTTTTGCCTACTATTAGAGAAAGTCCACATGACTAGTTTGCCAAAAACGCGCGCTTGTTGACAATTGTGCGCCACTAGGACTAGGGGACATTATAAAATGTCAGGAGTTAACGTCTCGTGGTCCACTTCTTCGCCAGTCAAAATTAGCTCTTCCAAGTTTTGCTCTGTCCAGCCAATTGCAGGATGGAAAAATGCTGACATCAACAAGGACAAGCACGAGCACCTAGTGAGGATGAATTTGAAATCGTTAAACGGTCTCACTGCTCGCCCCATTGATTGACATGGCAACACATAGGGGCTGAAATCTAATTGGAAAAATAAACAAAATCTAACAGTGCAGCCAAGAGAGACACAACACAATTCGGACTGTTGGGAATGAATACATACAATTCCATGGAATAAATATAAGAATTATGGTTGCAAATGTACAACAGTGCCTCTGACACCACAAGTCAATGCTTGCAAAAACAGACGAGCGGGGTGTAACCAACATGAACACCACAGATGTCTCATATTCCTCTCTTAATATCAAAACCCAAATAAAACTAAGTCCACTTTGCAGCATCCACTACATGATGTACTGGCTTCGACTCCACCCAGTGGTGAGGCCCTCGGGACTGATGTGTCGCTCGCCTCCCGAATACACGGGCGAGAGCGTGGAGGAGTACGTGCGCGCCTACAACCGAGGTTGTCCCAAAGACAGGCAGCAGAGTCCGCGAGACCAAACCGAATCGGATGAGCTGCTCTGGAACTCCCTGGAAGAGGTCCAGGGCGAGCCGGAGGAGGAAGCGGAG